AGCTAAGGACTGACTGACTGACTCAGTTTAGTTTTACTCCGCTTTTAGCAATATTCCAGCAATATCATGGTGGGGGACACCAGAAATGGGCTTAACACATTGTGCCCATGTGGGGAATCGAACCCAGGTCTTCGGCGTGACGAGCCAACGCTTTAACCACTAGGCTACCCCACCGCCCGCATAGCTAAGGAGGGTGATGACATTAGTTTGTGTCTCCGATCTTTGTAGAGACTGCATGTCAACAAAACATGTCCGTCATCTTCCACTTCAGCAGTATTTCAGAAGGTATATATTCTGTTGCTGAGGTGCTGTAGGTGTTGGCACTGTTTTCGCGAGGTGATTACTCTTAGATATTGTTTAATTTAATTTCAAATCTATTGCCAATCTTCCTGAAGTGCTAGAATGGCGATTAAACAATAAGGACTGAACAGAGCTTGTAGCAACACTGTCACACTTTGTACACACTTTGTAGAAACTCAACAAGGTGTTACGCATGATGAGTTTATGCTTTACCCGCTGAGTGAGTGAGTTTAGTTTTATGCCACACTCAGCAATATTCCAGCTATATGGCAGCGGTCTGTAAATAATCAAGTATGGACCAGACATTCCAGTGATCAACAACACGAGCATCGATCTGCGCAATTGGGAACTGATGACAAGTGTCAACCAAGTCAGCAAGCCTGACCACCCATTCCCGTTAGTCACCTCATTACGACAAGCATGGGTTACTGAAGATCAATTCTAACCCGGATCTTCACGGGTCCCCCAAGCAGAGGATCTGAGTCTTTCCCACTTTCTCACTCTCAGCCAAATATGCCCACACACTCATTCCCCACCTCGACCCTATACCCGCTCAGACCCAACCTCACCCCTACACCCGCTCAGACCCCACCTCACCCCTCCACCCGCTCAGACCCCACCTCACCCCTACACATCCGCTCAGACCCCACCTCACCCTTACACCCGCTCACTCCCCACCTCGACCCTACACCCGCTCAGACCCCACCTCACCCTTACACCCGCTCAGATCCCACCTCACCCCTACACCTGCTCAGACCCCACCTCACCCCTAAACCCGCTCAGATCCCACCTCACCCCTACACCTGCTCAGACCCCACCTCACCCCTACACTCGCTCACAATGTGTGGCAAGTCTAGATTACCATAGTTTCAGTTGTGAAATTCCAAGAAATAATGTAAATTTGTTTAGTCTCTGAAAATGAAAGAAGTCTCTTGGCTCTTTTTGTTTTATTTTATGATTTTAATTTATTAACTGTTTTATCTGTTGATTTCAGAGACTAGATGTTAGTCTACCACTGGGCATTGGGCTGCCAGACAGCTCACAACTCATTCATCCATTCAGGGCTAGAAATAATTACTACCCAAGAATATCTTTTAAAATCAAGTTTAAAGAAACATACGAATTTGTACCTGTTAACATTTGTTAAGCATTCTAAATACATAGTTCCCCTAAACTCATTTCAAGCACAGCTGAACGCTGATGGGGAAGGAAGATTTGAGATTTTTCACAATAAGTCTTGTAAGTGATAGACTGTCAGCCTCGCAATCATCTGTCAGATACTGCTGCTGGGGCTAGACGTACAAAAACCTACCAACCTATCATTCTTTCAGTAAAAAGCATTTAAAATGTTTACATAAAGATGCCATTTCCCGACAACTAGTTAAATGACAGAAGCATTTGGAGAATTGCTTTGATTTTTTTTTGTAATGAAGCATAAATATAAATGTAACAACATTCTCTTTTCTTATTTATATTTTCTTTCAGTACAACTTGAAATCTTAATGAGTTATAGTCCAAATTTGCAGTTTCTGCAAATGAAATATGAAGTCACAATTTTGTCATAAACATCAGATCAGGTAATAAATTAATATATATTTTCTCATAACTTAAATGTTTTTACATTTAGTTTTTGTAATTCTTCCCCTTATTTACAAATCCATAAATTCAAATTTCATTTTCCTGTCATCATGATAGTTCATCATAATGTTATCTTGGGAGCGGTATGAAATTATTACATTGTAACATTGGTATGCTTTATTGCATTTCTCCCTTTCATCTAAAATACCATTCACGTTGCTTTTTTCACCATGTTTTGGGGTCACATGCCATTTCTTAACACTTCACCACAATACCGCTAAGTCTGTGCATCCGCACAAACATCCAGACAGCGGGAGATTTTTTCATGGCCCAATTCCACCCCATCTTGATCTCATTTCTCAGCCATCACAAAGTTTATATGGGAGATGCCAAACTCATTTTCTCGTAAAACACAGACCAATCTTTCATCAGCATCTCTTGGAAGCCGTCAATCAGGGGGAAGGATGTTAATGTGTTAATTTCACTAATTACGAGAAGGACAGGATGTTAATTACATGCAACCACATGTCCCCCTCTTTCTAGTGTTCCACAGAGGGGGGAACATCAGAGACCAGACTGTCGGTATCACCTGGATTGTATCATGTTAATAGACGGGGAGGGGAGAGGAAGGATTATGGGGAAATCAGCACATTATGAGTGTGATATACATCAGCTTTTATCATATGTAAACTTATGTTTTTGTGTACTGGCGATGCACATCATTGTGTGTCTGAGTAAATTCAAGTTTGGTAACGATGCAACCAATGCATGACCACTACCAACAGGATTCAAAGGATTGATGTAAGTTTGACTGAAGCATCCAGTCATAGATGAATGAACTATAGGCTCAATGTAGAAACTGCTTGAGGACCAGCTGGTGAGGATCCACTGGATGTTCAATGTAGGCCAGGTAACTGTAGGCCAGGTAACTGCAGAGTCACAGATGGAATCAAAGGAGGAACTGCTTCAGGACAAACTGAAGGATTCTCTGGAGGACGAACTGTTGGACATGAGTAGGGTTCATTCTTGGACAAACTGAAGAATTCTCTGGAGGACGAACTGTTGGAGATGAGTAGGCTTCATTCTTGGACAAACTGAAGGATCCACTGTAGTGCTAACTGCTTGATGTAGGATACAATGTAGGACAACCTGTATGGCCAACTGAAGGATCATCTGCCTCCTGTCTAGAGGACCAACTGTTGGAGTAGTGTAGCATTCATTGATGGTCCAACTGTAGGATAGACTGCAGGACAAACTATATGGCGAATTGTTGGAGTAGTGTTGGGTCAATCTGTTGGATCTTAGTAGGGTTCAATTGAAGAAGGCTGGGACCAACTGTTGGATGGGTAGCCTAGAGGTTGCAGGACAAAAAGCGTTAGTGTAGGGTCGTCCACTGATTGAAGACCGGGTTCGATTCACTGTAGGATGCACTGTACAATGTGTGAAGTCCATTTCTGGTGTTGGATTGCTGGAATATTGTTAGGCGTAAAAACTCACTGTCACTCACTGGATCTTAGTAGGGCTCATTGAAGGCCACCTTAGGATCCACTGTGGACCCATCTGTAGAATCCAGAGGAGTAATTGATCCACAGAAAGATCATCTATAAGATAAGTTTTGGATCGACTGTAGAACCAGCTGCAGGGCTGCTTTTACCATTTAATGTAGGATCCAGTGTTGGAACATCTGCAGGGTCACTGTAGGAATTTCACTGTAGGATCTACTGATGGACCAGAGTCTAAAACCTTGACTCAAAATACCATGCATTGCTCCATGGAATGTTGTAACTTAAAGTAACGCATTAACATCACAAAATATTTACATCAAAGTGGATTTTCTATGGCTGTAAGAATTAAACACTTCACTATCACCTCATGAACCTGTCATTTAAAGCAAATAATTTTGTACGCTGCAAATGAAAATAACTTTCACAGCTCCCCTTTTCTGGAACTCACTGCCTCTTCACATTATTATGGTAAATAGAAAAGAAAAGAGGAAATATTGTGCATTTGGAGATGATGAACATTTTTGTACCAGAATATTTAAGTGGACCACTAGAGAAAATTTCAGAGTTTACAAACAGATGTAATTAAACAGTTCTCACATGAAAGCTCTTATGTTACAAGCATACAGAGCACTAACTCATAACTATACATGGAATTTGTTTAAACGGTTGATCAACTGTCTGTATTCTCGTATCATACAAGCTACACTCGAGGCGAACAGAAGAGCCACCAGCATTACAGTTGTATCACAGCACCCTGTAAAACTCAGGATCTCAAAAACTAGTGGTCAACAGTCTGAGCATAGAGAGAAGAGGTCTTCATTGGTGGTCACTCACTGAGAACTGTTTACACTCCACAATCACACAAACTAGTGGTCAATAGTATGAACATAGAGAGAAGAGGTCTTCATTGGTGGTCACTCACTGAGAACTGTTTACACTCAACAATCACACAAACTAGTGGTCAATAGTATGAGCATAGAGAGAAGAGGTCTTCATTGGTGGTCACTCACTGAGAACTGTTTACACTCCACAATCACACAAACTAGTGGTCAATAGTATGAGCACAATCAGAGGAAGTCTTATCTAGTGGTTATCCATCAAGAACTGTTTACTCTCAACAATCAACTTAGAATCTTAATGCCTCAGTAGCCTTGAATTATGAGAATATGGTTGTCTAAACCTAGTCGAGCTAAGAATCCTTACACTGCATTATATTTGTACTGAATCATTAAAAATGTTTTTTCAACATTTTTGCATAATCATGACATTTAGGGAAAATAATAAACCAAAGAACATTCCTTCTTTAAGTACCATGCTCAGAGAGTTCAACCTGTGAATACAACATTTCCTTTTCTACAAAAACTCAGGAAAACAATAATGCCCTGAAACACTTAGACCAATTCCTTCAGCGCCATAGAATTCCAGGAATCATGCCAATAATGCTCCTTTTTCTCTACAGGTGTTAATTATTCGTATCCCTCACACTCACATGCTAATTGTACAACCACCACGTGGTGATTATAACTGTGGCTTGGGGCTGGTGTGATGTCACTACCAGATGGCGCTCTACGTCACTGTCAGAGAGTAAGTGGCTTTCCAGGTGGAAGTACTACCTACCTGGCAACTCATACAGGGTATTGAAGATCCGGAAGCGGTGTTCATCCATCTGAACAAACTTGCTTGGATAGAGGGTTTGGATTTCCTGCCTGTGAATGAAACATTGAGAGGAATTACAATGGAATTTAAAAATGCTTTGACTTCAAGATGAATGAATTTACCTTGACATGAAATTTAGTATCTAGGTCTTACATATGTCTAGTGTTTTGTTATATACAAAATTTGTTTCATTCAATATTATGTCAGTTCTGGCAATAATGCACTTAGTGATGTCGGAGGTCAATGAGGAGTATTCAAACTGACTGACTGACTGACTGAGTTTAGTTTTACGGCGCTTTTAGCAATATTCCAGCAACATCACAGCGGGGGACACCATAAATGGGCTTAACACATTGTGCCCATGTGGGAGAACCCGGGTTTTGACAAGCCAATGCTTTAACCACTAGGCTACCCCACAGCCCCAGTATTCAAACAGTGCAGAGTGACCGCTTTTAGCAATATTCCAGCAATGTCACGGCAGGAGACACCAGAAATGGGCTTCACACATTGTACCTATGTGACGAATTGAACCTGTGTCTTCAGCATGACAAATTAATGCTTTAACCACTATGCTACCCCTCCACCCCAATATACAAGTGAGTTTGGTATGATGTCCCTGTGAGCTACATTCCAGTTACAGCACTGCTCTTCTCTTGCATCAGGACAGACGAAAGTGAAGCAGGTGTCAGATGTATATATGTTGGTAAACCCCACTAGCATGGGTATGCTGCATGATAAACCTAGAGGCATAATCAGGGTGAACCAGGATTTGAACCCACAATGATAGCTTTCTTGTGTGCCCCAAGGGAGGCGACTCTGCACAGAGAATTGCATCACTTACACAACTGGGTCAGGAGGGAAACATTAACATTGCAAAAAATGTATTTGTAGATGACTTTACTGTATTTGTTGCTGACCTCATGTAGTCACCTGACAAGCAAATATCTCACATGTAGTATTTGATATTTGTTTAAATGTAAGAAGAGAGAAAGCTTATTTAATTCTTCTTACATTTGTTTTAATGAGTAAATGCAAATGTCCAAATATGGACCAAACAATCCTGTGATAGATATTATGAACAATAATCAAAATATTTAGAGCATGACGCACATCCAAGCATTTCAGTAAGACAGACCACAAGACATACATATATCTGAAAGTCTAAGTTCACTTTATTGCTTATTCAAATAATAATTCAAGTCAGTTAACATGTCTTTCCTTGCGATCATACTAGTTGACATTTTGCAAACTTAAAAAGCAAGCCGAGAATAATGTGTTTGAATGTGTAAAGCCCATATCATGCTTTTTATACCATATTGTAAATTTTACCTCAGTTTCTTGGCATTGAGGCTAAGTAAATGTGATAAAAATGATAAAATAAAACAACTGTCTGTTGACAAAAATAGAAGACAAAATGAGAATAAAACGCAAAGACTGAATGAAACATGGTATGTGTCAAAAGCAAATGCATCTAATAAATTTCTTTAACTACACCATCAAAACAATTTCTCAAAAAGATCTCAATTTCTCAAAAAATCTTCTTCACAAATCTTTTCTTGAGCAAATAAATGTTCCTGACCTCAACACAAAGAACTCGTCAACATTTGAGGAATATCCACCTAAAGATGGGTACTATCCAGCCATGTGTTAAAGAGGAATAGAACCTGCACAAACAGCCAGAGAGAGCTGACAGCTGCCCTATAATAACAGTACTGTGCTAAGCAAGCGTTGATGACCAGGTGCCCCCCCAGTGACATTTGAACACCTGCCGCCTACCTACTGATATTTCTACATCTGTCTACTCATAAATAAATGCAATCAACATGTGAAAAATATGATGGTGTGTTTATTTTTCCTCATGCAAAAACTGATATATTCTGGCTCCCATACTGGGTTTCAGTGATGATTGATTGGGGCTGCTCAGAATACTTCCAGGAAGGTCCACATGTCTAGTTCTTTCCATGGACATGTTCAGAAGCAGGCGATACGAATTATATTTTCCTGTTTCACATATCCATTATTGATGCGATCTAGTGTCTTCAACCCAGGTAGGTCTGCCCTGTTGGTAGAATTCCTGGGTGGTCGTAATACACCACATAAAATAATCACAGTAACAAAATGAAATATGTGTCAAATGGATAAGGATGAACAGTGGGAGACATTGTCAATGTCAGGTGATCGTGGACCATCATGAACTGTAGGGGTGGGCGATGTGGGCGATAATAGCGGTTAACCGGTATATTGCAATTCAAACTTCACAATACGATATTGCAGTACACTTTTCGCGAACCAGTTCACCCGATATGATCCATGATCTGTAGTTTTCGTGATGTAGAAAAAATAAGATTAATGTTTGTATATCCTTTATATTATTATGCATTAATAGTTTTAAGAATTTAAGAACAGTTTATAGGTCATATAATAGCATTTGCATGACTTTAAAACCATATAAATAAATAAAAAATAGATTGGAACCGGCACTCGTTGTAGGGATAAACAATTTGGAAACATTTTCAATTGATCTCTTGTACAATCACAGCTGAGTCCTGACATTGGCCAGTGGCATTGTTTCAAAAGAAAGGAAACAGTAATTTCATTACCTTTTAAAAACCATGTGTGACACTTTCACAATATATTGCTATACATATGCCAATATGCCAACACATATCACGATATATCGCAATACGAAAATTTTGGCAATACCCAACCCTAATGAACTGCCTCCACTCCATGAGTCTGTCGTACAGACCCTGAAACAAATATATCCAAGAAAGCCCATGCAAGTCTAGAATATGTGGCAAATCTAGGTTTCCACAATTGCAGAAAAAGAAGAAAGTCTCTTCACTGTATTTTATGTTTTTAATTCAGGAACCACTAAAATATGTTCATTTCAGAGACTAGATGTTAGTCAACCACGCCAAGAGCATCCATGACTTCATCACCATTATGATGACTATAGGGGATCATCATCATCATCATCATCATCATCATCATCAAAATTACATTCAAACTTACATTCACTCACGATCATCATCATCACATCAGCAATCCAATATAATCACATAATCAACTTCATCATTATCACTCATAAGAAATCAACCTAAATTTTAGTGTGGATATCAAGGATTAAATCTATTACATCATGTGGTGATTGAAACAGAAACATTTCAGCCATGAGAAATCTACACATGGCTACCCATAGCAGACTGGTAGTGTATTATCTCAGTACACACTGATTCATCTTGGAACAGGACAGACAGGAACAGGATTGGCCTGTGTTGGCAGACCAGGGAAAGTGGCCTCACAGTGATGTAGCAGCCTCTGTTCCTGGCAGTGTTCCTGCTGAGTGTCCAGGCACCCTTCCCAGCATGCCTTGTTGTTCACATTACGCTTGTTCTTTTACACAAACCTGAGAATATCCTGATAGTGTCTGTCTATTTCCATTTCAATTTGAAATCTGGCCAAGAAAGATTGATGTTTTTCCTCAACACAAGCTATAGATAGATTGGGTTTAGTATCCATTATCAAAATTAACATCAATTAATTAACATGTGTGTTCAGTGTTAACTTTTGGCATGGAAGTATTCAAAGGTCTATCCTTGTTTCATGTAATCTTATTGGCAATTAAATCACTGAAATGAACAAAATAAAGAAGACAGGCAGGATGCAATACATTGTATATCTCAACAATAAAGTTCTAATACAATGTATATCTCAGTAGGCAGGATGCAATACATTGTATATCCCAACAGTAAAGTTCTAATACAATGTATATCTCAGTAGGCAGGATGCAATACATTGCCTATATCTCAGTAGGCAGGATGCAATACATTGTATATCCCAACAGTAAAGTTCTAATACAATGTATATCTCAACAGTAAAGTTCTAATACAATGTATATCTCAATAGGCAGGATGCAATACATTGCATATCTCAACAGTAAAGTTCTAATACAATGTATATCTCAACAGTAAAGTTCTAATACAATGTATATCTCAGTAGGCAGGATGCAATACATTGCATATCTCAACAGTAAAGTTCTAATACAATGTATATCTCAACAGTTTAGATGCAATATGATGTATATCTCAGTAGGCAGGATGCAATACATTGTATATCCCAACAGTAAAGTTCTAATACAATGTATATCTCAGTAGGCAGGATGCAATACATTGTATATCTCAACAGTAAAGTTCTAATACAATGTATATCTCAACAGTTTAGATGCAATATGATGTATATCTCAGTAGGCAGGATGCAATACATTGTATATCTCAACAGTAAAGTTCTAATACAATGTATATCTCAACAGTTTAGATGCAATATGATGTATATCTCAGTAGGCAGGATGCAATACATTGTATATCTCAACAGTAAAGTTCTAATACAATGTATATCTCAACAGTTTAGATGCAATATGATGTATATCTCAGTAGGCAGGATGCAATACATTGTATATCTCAACAGTAAAGTTCTAATACAATGTATATCTCAGTAGGCAGGATGCAATACATTGTATATCTCAACAGTAAAGTTCTAATACAATGTATATCTCAACAGTCAGGATGCAATATGATGTATATCTCAGTAGGCAGGATGCAATACATTGTATATCTCAACAGTAAAGTTCTAATACAATGTATATCTCAACAGTCAGGATGCAATATGATGTATATCTCAGTAGGCAGGATGCAATACATTGTATATCTCAACAGTAAAGTTCTAATACAACAGACAGGATGCAATATGATGTATACATATCTCAGTAGGCAGGATGCAATACATTGTATATCTCAACAGTAAAATTCTAATACAGTGTATATCTCAACAGTGAGAATGCAATATGATGTATATCTCAGTAGGAAGGATGCAATACATTGTATATCTCAACAGTAAAGTTCTAATACAATGTATATCTCAACAGTCAGGATGCAATATGATGTATATCTCAGTAGGCAGGATGCAATACAATGTATATCTCAACAGTAAAGTTCTAATACAATGTATATCTCAACGGTCAGGATGCAATATGATGTATATCTCAGTAGGC